AAAGAGTGAAGTTAACATGCAATATTACTAACTAATGTTCTCTAAACTCTGCGATGAAAATCACTAAAATTTCTTTTAAAATGAGAAAGGAAGGAAGCCTTGCCCAGACAATCCAAAGGAATGTTGATGAAAGGCTTCAGTATTACGTCAATTCTAGCCAACAAGAAGTTGTAAGGTCAGAAGATGACTTCCAGAAAAGTCCATTTTCAGGAAGATTTACCCCAATTCCAGAGAAATACAGAGTAACGGAAATTACGTCAGAAACACAGAGTCACTCTGAACACTCTCCCATCACCAGAAATGGAGGGAACTGTAGCATTCCATGACCAGAAATTGCCTCAATGTTGAGAGAACTGCAACTCATGTTAATATGGGCTATGGAAATCATGCATCTTTTCCACAATAATATCATGAAGGACATTTAACTAAAACCATTACACTATCCATTGAGCTCATACCTATTTCAGATGGAATCATTTCAAAATAACTAGACCATGGAGATTTGTCTTCCCTCATTTCAGCCCTTAAACGCACATGATATTCAACATCGTACTCAGTTATTGCTGAGGAAAAGTCACATTTGGTGCCAGTGACATTTTGACACCCAGCCAACTCTTCCCATTCCATTTCATTTGACTGACAGTCTTCAGAGCTGTAAGAAAGGAAACCATCAAACAAAAAAAGAATAATTTAATACTTTATTTTACTTTTCCTCTTAATGCTTAGAAAACAAGCATTACACAATTTCTAGCTTTTATTGCCAGCACTAATGTAAAGCAATATTATCTGTTTAGTTAGCCTGGACTTCAGAGATCAGTTATTTGTTTTGTTTAGTTTTATTAGCCAAAGTTAACCATAATTTACAAAGTGTGATACCAATTTGCTTTATTCACAATGTAAGCACACTATGTCAGATAAAGCCTCAAAGAACTCAGGATCACAATCCTGAATTAAATACTGAGTGCATGATCCCAGTATGGCATTTCTTTTATAAACCCGTGGAAGAAATTTAAAAATTGCAAGATTGCAAGAAACATTTAGAGAGATGCATAAAACAAGGGAAATTGTTAACATTAGCAAGGAGCGTGAATGCAAAAACAAAGGTGGAAACTGAAGTTCATCAAAAAGAGAAAAGAAAACATTGGAATATTCTCGGGGAAGCAGGCAGCTTCCCCAAAACTCCATTTCCTGTGTGTTAATGTGTGACTCCAAAAAGACATCTCTGACATCATGAGTGATGATCTGACTGAAAAGAGGCAGATCTGAAGAAATGAAAGAAATGATCTTCCATTCCTATGTTTGACAGACCAGAATTATGTTTTTGAAATAAGCCTGCATTTTCAGAGTGACAGTTTGTCATTTATACATTATACAAGAAGCAGCCTCAGTTTTTTATTAACCCGAAAACCGTAAATTAGGAAATCCTAAAATAAAGAACTCCTTAAGTGATTTTATCATCTCAGACATGTTCTCGTGCATTTGTGTGACAGGAAAGTTCTACAAAATACCAAGTGTACGGGTATACATATGTATTGGTATATAGACAGCAGAAGAAAAAGAATTAAAGTTGAAGAACAAAAAATCAATTATTTCATCTGATGACTAAAATTTGCAGATCAGAAAATTGGGTCTATAAGCACTGAAAAAAATTTTAAAATTTACACAGCAAGTTCTCTCAAACTTTACATGTACTTGTTGGGGGAGAAGCTGACAAAACGTAGCTCAATTAAAAAAAAAAAGACACACAAAGCCAATACAGGAATCTAAACACTAGTCTGAAATGTAGCAGTGCATTCTCGCCAGGAATCGTTTCAATACTGAACATTTAGTAGCAATGTTTTCTACATTTATGACTTATTACTATCAGCAAATAATCTAATTTCACATATTAATTAGACAGGTGATCCCTGCAGAGTCCAACCTCAGTTCACAATTTAATTTTCTGGCCTCTACTTCCTGTATTTCAGAAAGACTAAGTGGCAGCAGCAAGAACCACTGTAATTAATCAAATAATTTGCTCTTCTAACATGAAGAAGTGTCAGATTTATCTGGCTCAGCACAAAATCACTACTTACCAGCAGTACTGAGCTGAAAACATCACATCGGTGTCATCCTCCGGGTAGCTCCACCTTAGAGTGAAGTTTGTATTTACAATGTAGACCTCAATATCTTGAGGACTCTTCAGATTAGCATGACCTGCAGGAAAGTTACGCTAAGTTATGTGTAAATTGGGATAATTGATATGCAAACAATTTAAGGGTAACCTACCTCTTTGGAAAAGTAGTAGAGGGTTAGAATGAAACTAAAAGCAATAAACAGGAGAGTTTAACTTCCTTTGCCCCACAGCATTTAAAGGGCATTTCAATGTTCAGGCTAAGGAGCAGGGCATCAGGAACTCCTTGGCCTGTCTTCAATAGGCAGCTCTCACCTCAGTGCTCAAAATCTCCCCCACACACACCTTGAAAACTGAGTCTTACAAATGGTTAATGCCTGTAGTTCACCTAGTTCACCATTCACCATTATAAACAGATTATAAGCAGCCTGAATGCATTCTAACTAGTATGCTTTTTTCTTGTACCCAACACCTGCATCTCAGCAACAAACTCCTCAAGACTGACCCAATGCTGTCATTTCGCAGGTGCAGAGCAGATCTGGCATTTCAGACTTGTTTCATGTCACACACTACTGATATAAATTCAATGCATAACCCAGAACATAATGCGAATCACTTTCAACCAACAAAGCCTCCCCATACAGTAGGTTCTTGTAACTTAATTATGGCACAAAGAACAGTGCAAAATGACTTATGGAAGGCAAGGGTTAAGTCTCAGGCCATGTATAAGAATGACCAAAACATCAAAGGAAGACCAGACCAGGAAGGATGAATACTAAACTCATCTGGAGTTGGAGATAGATAGCTCTCTCCACCTTTGAAAACCAATTACTAAAAAAAAAATCTTATATTCTGTTGTTTGAAGAATACTTATTTACTATTAAGTTGACTTGAAGTATGCAGAATCCTACGTGTTCAATTTGGTATGCAGCTTAGCTGCTATAGGAGCAAGGGCAGTGACACACTGTGGGAAAGGGAATTACTTATGTACTTATCTCACAGGACAGAGCAGGAAGAGGGAGTCCGTGCGTTAGAGAGAGCCAGGAGCCACGTGCAGAGAAATGAACAGAAGAGGCTCTTAAATTTATGACATGGCAATACACCAGTTTTAGCACGCCTATTCTCATGCTTCAAAAAATATAAAACAAATCCTGGCACATATTTAAATAGATTGCCAGGAATCGCTTCTCAACTCAAGAAGGCACTTTATTATCTTGCTGAGTAATATTAATTGCTCTATGGCCCAGTGCAAGCTAATATAAGGGTTGTGATTCAGAATATTTTTTCTATGTTAGCCCTAAAGAAACATTAACAGAATGACATATTTCATATTAAACACAGGGTAGTGTTTTCCCCTGTAACAGAATTATTGAAGACAGTGTTTCAAACGATCTCTTTTTAGAACATAATTCAACTACTGCCTTTTAGAAAGCTTCCTAAAGTAGACTGAAAATTGTCAGAGAGTTTCCTAAATTCTCTAGCAGCACACACACATAAAAACCTGATATTGTGGTACTGAATAAAAGGTTTTTTTAGAGAGGAAGGTTCTGAAGTAGATTCTTTCCTCAGAATAGCATCAAATCTTTAAGTAAGAAGGCAGAATTAATTAATATGTTAGCCGAGACACATACTACATCCACAAAGCTCAAAAACTAAAAAAAAAAAAAAACCCACACATACATATACACACATACACTGATACCAGACCTCCAAGTAATGTTTTAAGCTAGGCTAGCCTTTTCAAAAGCTGGCAAGTATCACAGCAAAAGATCTTAAAATATCAACAATATAATTTGTAAAGATATAGCTTTGGATTCTGACATTTTCTCTTGCTTTTCCAAAGGAACGTGTAACACTTTGGGGCATTTAAGCAGGAATTAAAATGCCCAAATCAAAAGTCAGGAAACTTCATGGAATATGGATTTTAAATTAATCATTCATGGCCAGGTTTCAAAGATACTGGGAGGTAGGAATAGGTGAAAAATAACCCCCCACCCATTAATCCTACTTTGAAAGGCTTCAGACAGATAATGTTTATAATGCAATTACGAGTTTTCTAAGAAAAGACGTCACATACCTCTGAAAACCACACAAAACATTACAGTCAAGATATTTTTAAAATACTCTTATAAAACAAGTCAGAACTCATATACTTATTTCTCCTCAATTTACTTATAAAATTAAAAACTTTTATATTTGACTACTACTGGGGAGAATGCACAGATGTGCACAGAAGGAAACATCTGTAAACTTCATACTTAACAACTTAATAGGCACTATACCTACACCAACTTTATATTAATCTACTGGGTAGTATGCTGTTACTTTATATAAACATAAGAGCACTGAATATATTCAGCAGTTCTGTAAGAGATCAAAATTTCTTTTCCCTCTCAGTTGGACAAGATAGTATCAAAAGCATCCCTTTCATCAGAGGCAGGGACAGAGGAAACCACTAGCAATCTCACCAGAGTGAAGACAAAAGGCTGCTTATGAAGGTAGAGTTTTCCATAGGTTTTCTTGTAGAGGGAACAGACTTCATTCTACACTATTCCAGCCATAAGGCAGACTATATTTTTGCAGTGAATCTAGTGACAGTTGCCATTGGAAAGCATTAAACTTTACAGGAACTGAACTGAAGGATATTATAGGAGATGTGAGGACATTAGTAAGAGTTCCACATTATTTGTGGGAATGTGGAGTCCAAGGCTTATCTGAATAACAAATTGCTTAGCAATAGAGTAATTTAAAAATAAAAGTTGTTCTTGTATAAACCCTCTAAATTCAGATTAGAAGTACCTTACAATCAATTTTACCACAACCATTTCAGACGAAGAGGTAGTATTTCTCTTTCTAATACCTATTTCCATTTTGTCAGTGAACTGCAACTACTTTCAAAGAGCTAGAAAATCATACCAGAATAGTTTAATGTAGATAATTTTGCCCATTTGCTTACAAGACTGGTTCATAATACACATTCAAAAGTATTACTAAGCAAAATATACACAGCTCTACCCACATAGCCTTTTATTTCAGAAATTCAAGTACATTTAACATGAGACTTGTTCTCAATAATGCAGACACATGTAAGCAAGCCACATCCATCCTTCCACATTACCCCTATTTACAGTAACTGTTTTGTGCTTGTTTCCCGAAATCCCCTGAATCCCAATAAGCTGCAATGCAGGAGTGAAAAAGTAAACTGAGTAATACTTAATTCGCAGAGAAGTTTTCTGATTTAGCTAGAAACCAGCAAAAAGTGGTAGGTATCCTGATTTATTTCAGGCTCAACTACACTGGATGGATTCCACCACAATTAAAAATAAGATGCAGCTCTCTCACTACAACCTCCAATAACTGATTATCTGCCCAGTCAAAAGAGTTGCAATTAAACTCCTATCTTGGGGAGAGTAAATCAAAGAAAGTAGAATACTAAAAAAATCCAGTCTTTAATATTACATTTATTTCAATTTCCTGATGTTTTCAAATAATAGTCAATTTGAATATACAAAATAACATCTTCTAGTTCATGAGCAAAATAGGTGAAGAGAGCAAATTTGCTGGAGACAGCAAGAGTCACAACCCACTGTCTTGACCTGCACATACCCTCATGCAGAGGTTTGCAATGGCAAATAATTTAGAATTTATTGCCTTAGAAAAAGCCATACAAGCTCATCTTGAATCTAATTTAAACACTGCATAAAATGAAAACAAGTTCTTAGATCAAAATTTGTTTAAAATTACACATCACTCAAAATGAAAAATATTCGAAGAAAATTTTTTTAATCTGAATTATGAAGAACATAAAAGCATACTCCTAGATTACCTGTTTCATGACTGTTATAACACTACTTTATAGCAATCAGCAATAACAGAGGAGAAAAGGGGAATGTTTATATTTTCTTCGTGCCCCATCCCCATCTTTTTCAGATATAAAAGTAATGACAAATCTGTCTTTAAGCCTAAACCTTTTTGAGTAACTTCAGCAGCTTGACAATTACTCAACATCTGGGAGCACAGCTAGCTATAGTGACAAAGCTGCTTTCGATATCAGTGTATTTTATTTAAGTGTATCCAAACAATTCTGTATAAGAGACAGACAAAGGCCGAGAAACACGTTGGGAAATAAGAAAAAAACCTGGAAAGCTTCTTTTCATCTTCAGTAGAGGGAAGAGATGAAAACATGGCATCATTCTAAAAATCTGATGAATCAGTGAATTCTGTCATTGAAGGGAAATCAGCCATTGCTTAATAAATCAATATTAGAGATATATACATACATACCAGTACCTTTCACATACATAACAGTTTTATCTGGAAAATCTAAAGCTTCACTTAAAAATATTTTTTCCTGTGTATCTTAATTAGACTTGATAGAACTCATAAGTATTAAAAAAGTACCTGATTAGTATCTGATAGAAGTCACAAGTCTAAAAAAATATTTACATGTGTGATGGATCAACATTTTCTCCATGTGCAAAGTATTAAAAACATAAATGGCTATTATAACTGTAGTTGCTCACATAGATATGTTTGAAGCATGAAGCATCAAGTGCAAAAAGGAATGCCAAGATTCAGGTAATCCAAATATTTTAGCTATATAGATAATTAAAACCAAACTTTTCATAAATAAATGAAAATCACTTTAGTCATTAAAATCAAGATTTTTAGGAGCTTATTTTAGTCTTGACTAAAGCCTGTCATACTTAAGATGAATTCCTGCTTCTTGATCACAACACTTTGACAGTAAAGACAGTATTATAAGAGATTGAACTGTCATAAAAAGGGTTTGAAGACAATAAAAGAAAGTTGACAAGATTTCCCATCTTCCTTCCATTGTCCTATTTTTATAAACTCGAGCAATTAAAACTCTGCTCTAATAGTTTAAATCAGGAATATTAAAAGAAGCAGCATCTTATTAATTTCACTGAATAGTTTCAGTGACTGATGGTTGAAAACAATGAAGATTAAGTAATGTGGCAGCATAACAAAAGGCCACCTGCAACAGAAGAAACTTTGCACTCTTCCCCCAAGGGTGCGCTTATGTGCTGCTAAAGCTAAATATATCCATGGGGGAAGAAAGTAAGGTAGAGCATTATATTAAGTGTGCGGGTGGAACCAATGGAAACTCTGAACTCAGCCTTTAGCACAGGAAGGAAAGGAGACCTATAACATGTGCTACTGAAACAAAACAAAACCAACCAGCAAACCCAAAACCAAACCCCCGCTGGAGACGACCAAAGTGTTACTGGCTCCATGGTCAGAAAGGTTCTCTACAAAACCAAGACTCCTGCAAGCATTTCTAACCAAGCTGAAGGGAACGGCTGTTTCCGCCAAGGCAGAAGGTGACAAGTCACTGTGGCCAGACAGTTTCTTCCAATCCTTGTGGTACGTGGCACATTACTCATTTTGTCTAAGTGTGTGGGTTAATCAAACTAGCCACCCGTATCTCAATGCTTGCTACTGGAATTTTGAGGTGATGCCCTAAGGGTTCATTTACCAACCAGACAACACAGAT